TTGGATTTTTTAAAGAAAAAACAAAAGACACTTGCAGCAATTAGGCTATATTTCTGCAAAAAAAAAATGCAATTTATAGTCTGGACCTTTTGAAAATTTCCGTAGTGGTGTAGGGCTAAGCCAATCCCGCCAACACGAAAGCGTGGACTAGGGAAAGAGAGATCTCAACATTGTTCATTTTACATTGTACTATGTGTACTGTTAATTATGTGTTCAAATACAAGTTTTTAACAAAAGAATATTGACTGTGCAAATTGAATTATTTTAACCCCATAATAAAAATGAAACAAACCCAATGTTTTTAATTGGTCGATCCAAACGACTTCTACAGCGGGGCTGATTTGACATCAGTTCGCAGCTTTCGTGATAGCTGGACTGGCAATGATAAAAAGTGGCAAAAACGTGTTCAAATGTGTGATGACGCCAGCAGTGTTAAAATTTGATAGGACACTTAACCAATTTCCGTTTATTATTGTACAAGGGGTGTTCATAGTAAATGGTACAACAATTGAAAATATATTCCTGTTTTTAACTGTAAATCATGATGGTAATGATTGTCTCAAAAATGACCCGTAATGTTTTGCAATTGGAAACCAAGACGGTAGCAGTGAAGTTATTTGACGAAAACTGCTGTACCACTAATAATTTTAAATAGTAAATTAAGTGGCGTTTCTAGGAAAGCACAAAATACTATCAGAAGCAAATAAAATATACACGTCTTCAATCAATCAATCGGAGATTTATCACCAACCATATGGAGATGCTCGCGGCGCCGCAGCTTCAAAAATTACGATGCATGTAAATCTCCCCCAAAAAGGGGAAAAGGACAATGAACAAAGAAGAAAGTTTAGCAACAACATTTGCGTTAATAAAATTTAGATTAATTTTCAGAAAATAAAAATTATAATATTTAACCACATTAAAGTAAAAAATAATTGTAGGCTAACAGAATTCAAAAACTGGATGAAAACATTTTTTACGAAAAACCCATACTACCACAATCCGAAGCAGCCATGATTACGCAGTGTGTATCGCGGTAACTATGCAGCCATTTTGTTTTGTCGAGTATTTACAAGTTTTCTATTAGACTGGTCGTTAAGTAGGATTTTACACTGCGCAGGTTGGCGTGGTTTAACGAAGAACGACCAGTCGCATACGGCCACTAACTGGAGGGATTCGGTTGTCCAAGATGCCTGTGAGAATGGTGTTAGTGTGTTGGGTCATGCATGATTTTCTTTTTGTGTATCCATGTTGATTTTTATTTAAGAAAACGAAAACTGAGATGTTGAAGTCAATCGATTTTTGACAATTTTTTCTAGAGTTTTGCAAGCAATGGATGTGAGTGCAATTGACCGGTAGTTAGAAATATAAGACGGGTTACCACTATTCAGCATCGGTACATAAGTGGGAGGGTTTCCGCATGAATTGGGAAATACCGTTAAGCAAATTTAGATGAACGGAAGATTGAGAAAAGCGGATAAGTGTTGGCAGGGGAATAGCTATTATAGTTTAGTAGAGAGAGCTTGTCAGGTCCAGGGAAGGAAGAGTGTGGGAAAGAGTGAAGAATTTAATTAACATCCTTAGGTGTAAAATGAACATGGGTGAGAGTAGGGATCAAGATGGACGATAGTTGAGAAGGTAAGGCGTCAGAGGGGAGTACATCAGATTGGTTAAATACAGACACAAAATAATTATTACATTCATTAATTATTTTATGGAAAGACTCAACTTTAACACAAGAGCTGTTAACAAAAATTCTAGATGTTGCATTAACTGTTCGTCTGTCCTTTACAAATGCCCAAAATCGCTTTTTATTGTCCTGTTTATTTAAAGACTTTCAACATAATCAGGTTAAGATTTATAATTGCATCGTTTAACCAAATACCGAATGTATTGTGTATGCTTACAGTCATCCTCGCTTTTGCTCCGCTTTGCTTTCCTTAGTATGCGATTTTTCTTTTGAAGCAGTTTCTTCAGTGGTTTTGTTATTACGGAAGCACCTAAGTGCCATTCGACTTGACGACTTGTCAAGATAATTATGTTGTCAAGACGACATAATATACATATCATGTCGACATGTCAAGATCAACTATCTTGGCAAGACGACATACGGTTTGTATTAAGTCGACTTGTCAAGATAATCTATCTCGCCATGACAACATAACATTTTTACTATGTCGACTTGGCAAGATAAACTATTTCGCAATGGCAACATACAATTTTTATTATGTCGACTTGTCAAGATAATCTATCTCGCCATGACAACATAACATTTTTACTATGTCGACTTCACAAGATAACCTAATTCGCTATGACAGCATACCGTTTGTATTGCAGTATGTCGACTTGTCAAGATAATCTATCTCGCCATAAAAACATACAATTTTTAATATGTCACCTTCTCAAGATAACCTATCTCGTCATGACAACATAACATTTTTAATATGTCGTCTTGGCAAGATAGTTGATCTCGACATGTCGACATGATATGTATATTATGTCGACTTGACAAAATAATTTATGTTGTCAAGTTGACATAATAAACATATGTCGACATGTCGAGATCAACTATCTTGTCAAGACGACATTCAAATTGTATTATGTCGACACGTCAAGATAATCTATCTCACAACATAACATTTTTACTATGTCGACTTGGCAAGATAATTATATCGCCATGGCAACATAACATTTTTACTATGTCGACTTGACAAGATAATCTATCTCGCCATGACAACATACAATTTTTACTATGTCGACTTGTCAAGATAATCTATCTGGCCATGACAGCATACAATCTTTACTATGTCGACTTGTCAAGATAATCTATCTCGCCATGACAACATACAATTTTTATTATGTCGACTTGTCAAGATAACCTATCTCGCCATGACACCATCTGCCTTAAGGTTTGGGGTTTGACCTATCAGTGAGAATAAAACAGCATGCACTTTCAACATGATTGTCCACAACAGATAGATTCGAAATGAGCATCGGAAATTTAGTGAATAGTCTATAGATCAATTGTAGACTCAGCATTTAAATTATCATTTGAGGGTCTTGTAACTTATTGTACTAAGTCGCTGAATCCAAGTGGATCAGTAATAGGCCTAACATCAAACATCGTTTTGCTATCATTTGAATCTGGATTTAACATTAACATTGAAATCACCAAGAAGGAAGACATATGATTTTAACTCTGGTTTTATAGACTGCATTAATTAATTAATTTTGTTAATCGTCGCCTCCTGTTCTACTTGGTTTTAATCATGGATGAAACATATGGTTTCAATCATAGTTCCTATGTTTAGCCTTTCAATTGTCATAAGCTTATACGCTATAGTAATGCTTTCCCATAGTCCACTTCTTGATCATTCATTGTTCTCCCTTATCACGTCTGTTTATCTGTACATCATCAATCCTTTATGTATGCCGACTTGCCTTGGACTATTGTTTCTCAAATTGTATATTACCAAGGAGGTATATTTTTTTACAAAGACAAAGACTATAGACATGAGTAGCCGAAATATTCGTGTCAGTAAAATGTTAATGTTTTTAAAGTCAAAATTGTATGTATCTGAATTACGTTTGCATTACCGTATATGATAGTCTTTATTGATATTGACCTTAACATAAAGGTATAGTCAAGGCAGAAATACAAACAACAGAATTACAAACAAAGCAAAACCACACATAAAGTATATACAAAATAACAAGATGAAAAGTTTTACGGTAGGCCTATCAAAATTCCAAATTACAGTTTATTAAATTTGCCTGTGTCAAATTGAGTATCACGCCAGTACGTTACAAAGGTTTATCTCTCAGTAGAACGCTGACCGTACATACTCCATCACCGGCTTAATATCAAGTCGTTAGCTCCCATGATATATATGAATTTTTCATTTTTTGACATATTTTCAAAACTTTCAAAGAATAATAAATTCATGTAAAGTTTACTTCTTAAATCATAAACGGGGCAATTGAAAATAAAGTGAAACTGATCTTCGACTTCTCCATTTTTTCAACTTCTGTTTTCGGGTTTGTGTATCGGCCTCTCTCAATTTCGAGTATGTGAGCACTTACTCTTAGTATACTTAAATACGATCTCTGATTTCTTTTATAAAAAAGTACATAGTTTTCCATGGCGAAAGTTCTTTTATATGTACAATAGGAACGTATTTTATATTTATTTGTATTTTAGAGTGGATTTTTACTTCAAAGTTCTTACTGTTTAAAATAGGTCTTCACAAAATATCTGTTTCATCGATTGATTCTAAAATACGCCTGATACCAGAAGACCATGTAACGTTTTTTTGCACATGCGCAATGTGCTTCAATATATATATATATATATATACATATATATATATAGGGGTGGGGCCTGAGGAGGAGGGGGATGCGGCTGGATGTGGGGTGGGGTTTGGAGGAGGGGTGGGTTGTGAGGCGTTACACCCTCAGTAAGGTCATTTTTCACTAGTAGTAGCGTTCCCTACCAACACAGAACGGGGGCAGATGCGCGTGTTTCCAGGCTCGTTAAGGTTCCCCCGATTTATTTGTCTTAAAGGCCCTGTCACATAGTAGCGAATAGACCTAACGTATGCCGAGCGTTCTCATTTTGTTTTTCTAAGTCCCGATACGCTCAAATACGCTCAATTTTTTTGGCAAAAAAATAACATTTTTGCGTGAAAGACGAACGCCCAACGAATGAGGAACGAATGCTCATCGTACAACTAGCGTCCATTTAACGAATGACAGCGCGTTCGCAGCGTTCGCCCAACGAATGTTCAGCGTACACAATGCCCAGCGAATGTCACACGTATGCCTAACGTATTGACGCCTTGTAAACGTTGATGTAGGTCGGTATACGCTGAGTGTTCGCTGGCCATTCGTTACTCATTAGTTAGACAAACGCTACACTGTAAAAACGTTGGGCAAAAAATTGCCCAACATTATACCCAACGCTGGTACAATAGTCAGCTTCATCATCTATTGGGGATTGTCCCGTATGTTACAATGGAGGCGTGTGTTCTGTTCAGTTTGGATCTTGCATCTGTCCCCCGGGCTTCATAGGAGAGAACTGTGAAAAGGGTAGGCATAATGTTGTTTATTGTGGTGTCTGTATTTATGATTTTTTTAATCTATTCATACTCATTAAATGCGTCAGATGCCGATATTTTTGGCTTTATTGATCAATATTTATTCATTTTTAGTGGCGGCGCTACGGGGTTGGGGGGGGGGGTGCCGCGGGAGAATAATACAAATCACAATTCTTGGGGGAGAAAATAAAATCTAAGTATTTTTTACATACTAGTAGACTATCTATATGTAAAATCGATTAAATAAGCCTCTAAATTGTCATATTTTTCAGGAAGCTCCCCCTCCCCGGACATTTTAATTGACACCCTACCACTCTCAATTTGCTCTCTTTGGGGACCTTGCCCCAAAAAATTGTAGTTTTCCCCATCCCTAGATTTCAGACGCTGGCGCGCCACTGTTCATTCTTATATTTTCTTTGTAAAAAAAATGTCGAAAATGAAAATAACATTAACATGGCAGCGCCAGCGGGGTGGGGGAGGGAGGGAGTGAGGGGAATTTTCATTCCCCCTCCCCCACAGTTTTTTACCCTGAAAACGGAGAAAAACCACAATCCGTAGTGGAGAAAAAAAAATGATATTTATTTTCTATATATTTTAGTACACCCTCTATCTATAAAATTGATTAAATAAGCCTCTGAAACCCAATCATATTTCCCCTACAATGTTTCCTTGCCCGTCACTTCCCCCCACCCCTACCAGATTTCAGACTCTGGCGCCGCCATTGTAATATATATAGATATACATAATCCATCCCAACTATATCTATTTCTATTAAAAAACAAATATATATTCTTACAATCAAACGACACTTTCCCTGGTCGAATTTGAATATGAAATTTACTTTTTGTATAAACAGCCTTCATTTTCAAATTACTTTATATTTCACTTCGACTTGAACTATTTTGGGACCAATAAGGCAGAGAAGAGAAAATAGAATAGTGGGAAGTCCGGCAGTGTATTCACAAAGCAGTTGCATTGCCTGTCATCGTATAATATTAATTAAAATGACATATTATATATTGCTTAGGTTTGTATATTTGTCAATAATAGAATGAAATGATCTTATTTTTTAATGCTGCTTTTTTCATCTCATAGCTTGTGGCTTTAATATCTGGGGGCCCTATTGCGAAGTAGGATGCGCTTTAAATTACCACTCAGAAAGGCCTTCAGAAAGTTGTTTTCGAGGATTTCTGTTTTGTCCTCCTGACCCATTCGGTTGTTCGTGTATGTCCGGAATTGGTGATCTTGATTGCACAAGAGGTAACGCTTTCCCAGCGGTAGCTGGAAAACCCATTGTTTTTTTTTCTGATTTGTTTTCTTATATAGTTTTACCTATCTTTTTGCACTGGGGTTTTCCGCTCGGCTCTTTGGTCATTTTCCAAGCATAGACCAAGGATCAAAGATATATCAAGGCACATCATGGATATGCCTTTCAAAAAATTTAGTGACAATTCTGATTGGGGTGTGGATGTGGGGACCATTTAAATAGATTTAAAGAGAAACCCCACTCTAGATATTTCAAAACGGAATCAACTGATCTGACTGAAACTCTCTGGAAAGTTACAAGAAAGACATTGGAAAACATATTTAAATTTTGTTGACAATCCGAAGTAAGGTGTGGAGATGAGGATCATTTAAAGGGAAACGTCCCAGACAGACCAGATATTATTAAAAAAATAAAAAAAATAAAAAAAATAGGCTCATAGCGGGAGCGTGTGTATAGTGCCTAATTTTATAGAAATGGTGATGAGGAAAATGATTAATGATTTAATGGTTAAACATGAGAGTAAGTGGGGGTGTTGATATTATACTCTCATGTATAATTGCCTATTGTTACACTGCAGTACACTATGGTGGTTCCTGTTAATAGATACGGTGACAGTGATATCCTTATCCTGTTACCAGCACAACTGTTCCTGATAGTTTAAATATCTACCTACACATGACCTCCACCGGAATTAGAAAGGCCAACTGTTGGTTATGGTTACCGTTTGTCATAGTCAAATAAAGAAATGATTACATTTTAGCGATGATCTGGAGTAGGGTCTAAACATAATGACCATAAAGACAAACGTCCTAGACCAGATATTGAAAAAAAACTCTTCAAGTTATCTGTATGAAACTTTATGAAACTTTAAACAAGTAACAAGGAAGAAATTATTAAATTTTGGTGACGATCCAGATTCGGGTGTAAATTAGAGGGTCATTTAAAGTGCTAATGTCCAAGACCGAAATATCTAAAAAAAAAAAAAAAAAAAACTTACCAATGAATCTAAGTGAAACTTTCCAGATTAGTTTGTCTGGTCCAATATGAACGCAATTTGCGTTTTTAAAAGCGTTGAAACCAGTTGCAACTAGGTTAAACGCAAGATTACCGTCATATACATGAACAATTTCCGCAGTCAATCACTGAATTACCATGTAATTACTCAATGTAAATGAACCTGAATGGGTATGGGTCTTCGTCACCTTCACTATTACCATTACAGCTATAGTTCGAGTCTCATTAACACCTAACTGTGTGTGTGATTTACTTAATGTACTCTTTAATAACTTTTTTGTTGCAATTTCAACACATATCAGTTTGTTTGTTCTACTTTACTCTTAACCATTAGCGCTTCTTCAAAATCATCGACTGATTTTACTATAGAAACCGTAACTCCAAAACTAGAGGTCGGATACATTAAGTTGAAACGGTTTTATTTACAAAATGTTTGCTTTCAAATATTTGGCTCCGTCATTTTGGTTGAATTACGAAAATATACGCCATGTTTGTGTGTTTTCAGTGGGATGTGAGCTGGCTTATGAGGATTCGTTTCTTTACAACGTCATAACTTTGCCTACACTAATCCGATTGCTTAGGTTGAAGAGGCAACAGAAAGAAAATCAGTTATAAAAATTGGATAAAATTTTCTTCCGTCATTTAGTAGTTCTATCAAAGGCATTCAAGAATAAAAACTGCCCGGACTCGCAGTCGGCCAAAAGAATTGACGCGTTCCCTTTTCTAAAGTGAACAAAATAATGGTTCCTGCTGTATCAAAGACTTGTTAAAATTCATTAAATTAATAATTATGCTTGAGTGGGCATATCTTATTTCTACAGTGTTATACATAAATTAGGAATGTATTTTTAATGGTGTTCCACTAAAGATTAATCGTTTAAAAAAGTTCATTTTTATAACCTTTTTCGGATAATGAAATCGCTCAAACACTGCCCTATATCGCTTATTATTATTATTATTATTATTATTATTATTATTATTATTATTATTATTATTATTATTATTATTATTATTAATATTATTATTATTATTATTATTATTATTATTATATCGAAGAGAAAGAAATCGAGAAAGTGATTACGTATTTAGCAAGAGAACGGAGGAAATTATGAAAAATTAAAACAGTGGTCATTCCTGTTGTAATTGAGACAATTGGAACAGTTCCAAAGAAATTAAAGAAAAGACTGGAACACATCGGTATACAGACTTCAGTAAAGTGTGATTCTGAACACGGCAAGGATTCCCAGGAAGGTCAAAGAAGTTTGAGGAAACTTGTTGTCACATGAGCTTGGTTCACGTCGAACTTTTATCTAGATATACATCCACTTAACTAGTTAAAAGTTCGACGTGAACCACTCAATTATAGCTAGTTAAAGGAATTAAGTCACATAAGTTAAGTGACTTAACTTTACTAGAAAAACGGTAAATTAACTTGCTTAACGGTAAAGTCGACTCTGATTACAAGGACACGATTACGTAACGTAGGCATCTAAGCCAGCTTTGTTGTATTGTACCACCATTATCATCTTCTGGCTGACAACAACGTACTTCAACAATGCTAACAACAGCATCCAAGTAGTCTCATTAGTCTGGTTTTCAGAAATTATTTGTAATATTTTGGGTAAACACCCAGCAAACGTCCGTTTTACGAATAGTCGATATTACCAATGACCTTTGCCCTTTGCATCATCAACCAAGTAATAAGGTTAAAAAGTCCGATTGCGTACGTTTTTCAAAGTGATACTGTATATTTTTCTTAATAATAAAATCAGATTTGTTTATTTATTTATTGACAATTCAATCTTTTCTATTTCTGCTGTAATAGTCGCTATTAATTCAATTTCAACGAACTACCACCAACGCCAGTCGTTAAAATGAGCGCACATATTTACGATGACGAAATAAAAAAGTGTGTGGAAGTCAGCAACTTATTTGACACCGCGAAGCTAGATTTTCGCGAAGTGCATGTAAACAACACAATTGAGCGATCTAAAAACTACAAAACAGGACAGAAAGGTCCATAAAGTATACATACGTTTTAATGAAAATTAAAACAATATTTTGTTAAA